ACCATACAGGAAGCATGTTTCAAGAACAGAAAGAGCAGAGTTTACCAAATACCATCTTTTTCATAATCCACACAAAATGGTACAATGAGAAAGAAATGAACATTTTTAAAATGTTTCAATACTCCTATATCCATAATTTTATCTGTGTGGGTACACTCTCTACCAATGCAAATGTCAACCCATGCATTTTAGTGGATAGTGCAAGAAGAGACAATTCATCTTTTTTAAAAAAAGTTTTTTTTCCTTCCAAATCCATATTCTAGGGTGATGAGGATCCTAATAGAATATGAACACAGGTACTCCTTTCCTATAGAAAGAGCTCCTGGCATCTCAGGGCCTTTCTTTGACCTGAAGTGAAGGGAGAGCTGTGTACAAATGGTTTATTGCCTTATGGCTTCAAATGGGTTTCTGTCTGAGGTGGAAAGTCAAAGAAACCCAATGGCTTGAAGTAGGACATTCTATCACGCTCAAGCAACTAAGACTAGTTGGTTGTTTGTTGGGAGTTTACCCCCTGCTTCTTGGATCTTTCACCCAATCCCATGCCCCCTTTCCTTTTTCTTTGTGCTTTTGACTCCCATTGTTGGCAAAAATCTATATGACCTTTCTTCTTCTCCATCTTTTTCTCCCCTAGCTTCTGTAACTCAAAAATAAGTTTCCCTAACTCTCTACTCACACCAGGGAAAGGTAGCATTCCATACATGACAGAGTGCTGGATTGGAGTCAGTAAAACTTGGTGCAAAATCCCACCTCAGGCATTTACTAGCCATGGAGCTTTGATCAAATCATTTAACTGGCCTGTACCTCAGTTTCCGTATTTGTAAAATGGTAGGTGTGGGAGGGGAAGAGGTAGACTTGAAGACCTCCAAGGTTCCTCCCAGTTCCAAACTTATGATCCTAAGCTGATCCTACTACTTGTTTCCTGCATGGGTTCTCTGATTCCTGCAGATTATGTATTTTTCCTTACACATAAGCCAGGACATGCACTGCACACATATACAGGAACTTGCAACCTTGTATACAAGCCTTCTTGACTCTCACAGTTTGTTTGATTGTAGCATTTGTTTAAATGCTAGAATTTCAAAGGAGCTTAATGGGTCAGTGAATGAACAAAAAAAGTGAGTGTGAGGCTATTTTTGGCCCCAGAGGATTGTATCAAATTTAGACTAATTAGAAAAGAACCATCACCTCACTAAGTCCTCAGCATAGATTGCATTGCATTATAAGAGAGGAAGCCAGCCAGGACAGCTGATTATAAAAATCACTTGGGGCCAAAAAGATTGCTCTTTTCCATGAGGGATGATGACCCAGACAGAAATGGAGTAATGGAGTGGTTGGTCCATGCGGGTGCTTCTGCTTCTGACACTTTAACCCATCTTCAGTTGTAAACTCTAGGTCAGGGATGGGGAACCCATGGCCTCAAGACCACATGTGGCCCTCCAGGTCCTCAAGTATAGTCCTTTGACTGAATCCAAACTTCACAGAACAAATCTCCTTAATAATGTCCTGCTCTAGATATTATTTCTGCTCTATTGTTTCCATGGATGAGTCTATGCATCCCCCAAGCCTTTGGGCATGTATATGACAATACCACTCAGAGTAATGGGCAGAGTTCACAGAATTGACTATCAGAGTTAAATTCTGGGTTTGACAGTTCCATTCCCGATTTCATCTTGAGTTTTCTGTTGCTTAATCACTATTGGCCTGTTTCTTATCCTCTCTAAAATGGGAACAGCACTAACCTGCCCCACAAGGACCATAAAGTACTTTGACAAGGAGAATAAATCTGTGATAATGCTATAAATGATGAATTAAGATGTCTTAAATGCAAAAACTATTTATTAGGTATGCTTCTTGTTATTTCATTGTTTCAGTTGGATCTGACTTTCTGGGATCCCATTTGAGGTTTTCCTGGCAAAGATACTGAAGGGGTTTGCCATATCCTTTTCCAACTCTTTTTACAGATGAGAAAATTAAGGCAAATAGGGCAAAGTGATTGCCCAGGGTCACATAGCTATTAAGTGTCTGAGGCCAGATTTGAACTCAGGAAGAGAAATCTTCCGGATTCTAAGCCCAGTGCTCTATCCACTGTGTCACCTTGCTACCCAAAGTATGTTTCGTGAGCGCTTAATGATGAATTCCATTTAAGTATTCACTCTATGGAATACTGCACATCTGACTTCAAGTGGTTAAATGACTTGCCCAGAGTCACAGAAATAGTCACACAGTACACAGCTCTGAAGGATAAATTGAAAGCTTAGGTAACAAACACAGGTAACCATAATACAGTATATCATGTGATAATTGTATTGAAGAATTCAGAAGCAAAGTGCTACGTTCAGTTTGAGGCAAAAGTATCAGGGAAGGCTTCGTAAAGGAGGAGGTGTTTGAGTTGGGATTTAGTGAATAGATTCCACACCATTAAAAAAAATGTGTTATTTTTACAGAAATAATATTGACAAAATCAATATGAAGGTCTTCTATTTGCATATAATACAAAAGTATATCACATTAACACAAATATGCCAAGTTGGGGGTGGAGATGGTTGAGTAGAAAGAGGCTCCCTCTGTCCAACTCTCTGTCTGTCTGTCTGTCTCTGTGTGTCTCTGCCTCTTTTCTTCTTCTTCTTCTTCTTCTTCTTCATCATCATCTTCTTCTTCTTCTTCTTCTCCTCTCTATGTATATATGACTATCCTTCTAAAGTCAAATAAATATCAATTTATAATGCCAACTGTTGCTAAAATCATAACATTTTGTTTTTAAAAAAGAGATACACAGCAATGAAAGAAATGATGGTGCCATAAGATGCCCACAGGAGATAAAGAGAACTATACTAAATTTAATACAAGTTTTAGACGTTTTATTGTCATTCTGTCCTATGTTTATCTGTACTATCAAACAGTAAAATGAACACACTTCACTCATTGTGGCTATCTGATTTCCCAAATAACAAAGATGGAGCAAAAGATACATCAAGGCTCTAAAATAAATTCATAAGAACCTGTCAGGTTATTTCACATTTAGTCTTAAAACTGAATTTCATGGGAAAATGAATAGTATTTTTCAAAAAGAAATGTTGAAGCTGTTGGAGGAAAAGAAAATTGTAGGTAGTTTAAAACCAATATCTGGAAAATTTATCAGAATTAGTGGGTTTTTTAAAAATCTGACATGTCTTCCAATTTTGTAAGTGCCAACATTTGAAGCAATTTCTTCTAAGAGTAATACTTTAGGAGCTTTTTTGAGATGGAAAGGCTCAAATGAGATGGTATCAAATGTTTTGCAAATCTTAAAGTACTACATAAATGCTAGCAATTATTATTATTATTGTTATTGAAATATTCTAATCTTTTGTTGTTCATTTTTCATTTTTGAAGAGGACCAATGATATCACAGATGATGATTTGTGTTTGAATTGGATTTAAGTGAGGCAGAGTTGCACAAAGCCATCAGCCTCACCTCTCTCTTGCTGAGTCATTGAAGTGCAGTGGCAAGAAAAAAATCAAGGTGCCTGGCAATGGCTCAGGATGCAGTAGATGACCTTGGTGTCTTTGATGTCTGACCAAGCTCTAAGTGCTTCACAATGCCTGCCTCAACTGTCTTCATGGTCATTAGAACAAATTGCTCTCATCCTCCCATTCCACTGGGGGAAGCCTTCACATGCTTGGAGTAAGCAACTCATGGATGAATTTAGGCCTGTAAGTTTCCTTTCACCTGGTTTAGCCTGTCTGCCAAGACAGTTTTAACCAGGCTATGCACGCTATAGTTTCTTGGAGCCACAGGTGAGAGTTGGGTGACAAGTGGACACCAAATGTAGATGAGCAGTCCTGAAAAGGGCTCAGTAAGCCCTCACACCAGAGGTGCTAGTCCTCCCAGAACAGCCCACACACCTCAACCTTTTCTTTTTAAACCTTCTAGAGAACTGAATTATCTTGAAGGATCAAGAGTCTGACCATTAATATCAAGGAAGGCATAAAACATGAAGATGAATATTCATCAAAATCATTTTTCTTTATCATGAAGAGTTTCCAGCACACAATATAGATTGAAAAGAGATTCCGTATGGATGGTGAAGTACTCCAGATATTTCTATTTTGGGGTAACATTGCACTGAGGGCATCGAATCATAGAACATTGCAAAAGTTAATCACTCACAAGAGTTTAGCCTAATAGATGTAGAATGTCAAGTGTCTGTGCAATGAAATGTGATTGGATGGACAGCCTATAGAGATTTGGCATCAGTACATATATCTTTGGTACATACTGCACATGGAAAGTGAACTGAGATTAAAATGGAACAGGAGAAAAGTGGGATGGATTGCCTTTGGAAAACCAGTTCTTTTGCTTGAAACAAAGCTCATCTTTTTTGATGCCAATGTTCTTCCAGTGGTGTTGTGTGGTTGCAGGTAATGTTATTCTACAGCCTGAAGAATTTAAATGGAAACTCACTAGAAGGGCAATGGAGCAGCCTGTGGTAGATATGAGCAGGCTACAACAGAGAAGGAGGAGAGGGAGAAGAAAAAGAAGAAATAAGAAAGAAGTAAGAAGAAGAAGAAGGAAGAAGAAGAAGGGAATGAGAAAGAAAGAAGGAAGGAATTTCACGTGAGAAGTGGCAAAAATGATAACAGAAAAAATGAATGAAAAATTATTTGTTATAATAATGACTCTCTGGGAAGGAGAAGGGAGAGAAAGATAGAAGGAACATTAGGCAAGAAAAATATATCAATAAAATTTACTTTAAAAAAAAGAAATTTGAATGTCTGGAAACAAAAAGAAGGGCCAGTAACATAGAAGGAGAAAGGGAGCACATGTTTATCAGCACCTATTATGTGTCAGGCACTGTGCTAAGAATTTGACAGTTATCATGTCATTTGATTTCCACAGAAATGCTGAGAGGTAGTCCTATTAATATTATCTCCATTTTACAGATGAGGAAACTGAGGTAGAAAGAAGTTAAATGACTTACCCAGAGTCACACAGCTAGTAAGTATCTGAGGACACATTTGAATTCAGGTCTTCCTGACTCCATGCCCAGTGCTCTATATCCTCTGAGTTAACAAGCTGCCCTAAGAGAAAAAGGGTGAAAGATAACTGATAGAGAGTCCAAGTGCTTCATTGGTAGCCACTTGGTATTAGAACTTTAGAAAAAGGTTGCTAGCATTTTGAGTAGACCCCCTGTGGCAAATTTGTTGAGATCTGCTTCACTGACAGAGATAGCCACACCAGCGACATCACAAACCTATTCAATCATAAGGATACAATTTAATTTGTACCTAATTTCAACATTAAATACTGGGTATTCCCCAAATAAAGCAGTTCTCCTCCGATTTTGACTAACACCTTGCTATTATGCAGGACACTGAGTATCACTAAGAACCACTTCCTTGAACTCTATGTAATAATGACAGAAGAGCACCCAGGATCTTCCTTCCCTCCTGCCATCCTGCTGTTCAAACCAAGGACTTGGTTAATGATATCAAATATCTGGGGAGGTAATATTTACCAAAACCAGCCACAAAACAGATTTGCCCTGAATAACGTTTTACTGGTTAATTTAATTCAAATAATAAATATTTTCACTCCGTGGAAAGCACAATGCTAGGTGCTGAAGACAACAAATATAAAAACCAGTCTGTCTTCAGTGAGTTTATATTCTTATGGAGGATTAGAACCTAAATCATAGACCAAGAGCTGGAAAAGATCTCAAAGGTCTTCTAATCTAACTCCTTCATTTTACAGATGAAAACAACCACAGCCAGAGAGCTATATCTCTGTAACTTAGCCAAGTTTACACAAGTAAGTGACAGAGTTGGGATTTGAACTAGGTCCTCTGACAAAAAAAAATAAAAATCTCATGTTCTTTCCCTCACCATAGTGGGCTACCTCCATGCAAAAAAGTAAATGCAGAATCTATGCACAGTTACTTTCAAGAGTAAAAAAAAAAAAAAAAAAAGATGCCCATAACTGAAGGGATTAGGAAAGGCCTATAAAGAAGGTACCACTTGAATTGTGCTTGAAAGAGCCAGGAATTCTCTGAAATGGAAGTGGGATTTAAGGAGGTGGGGGAGAGATGCATCTCTATTTCCAGTTATCTCTCACCAAACCTGCTCATTTCCTTCAATTATTTAAAAACTTTATTCTGAGAAGGGGTCCCTAGGTTTCATCAGACTGCCAAAGGAGTCCATGACACAAACAAAGTTAAGAATGCTTGCTTTAAAGTTTCTTTCAGACTCTATGGTCTATGGACTGGTTCAGTTCTTATTTGGGTTCTATCTACTCTCTTTACCCTAAGTTACCACGTTCATTAAGGCGAAAGAAGGACATTTAAGGAAGGGAGCAGGTACAGGAAACAAATAGTAGCATGAGACAAAAAAGAGACTAGAAGCACATGGGCCATTTTGATCCATGCTCTATGAAACGAATATATATCTAATGTGAAACCTGGGGCTTCCTTTTTCCTGTGAAGAAGAGAGACATTTTATATCTTGTGGGCAGATCTTAGGAGCAGCAGTATGGTTGCCATCAACCATCCTCTGCAGTTGTAAAACTAGACCAACCAGATCAGTCATCTTGTATCCCATGGGTACAGTGAAAGACCTACTCTGACCACGTCCCTCAGGGAGTTCCCCAGGGAGCAGAAGAAGCCTGCCATCAGTGTGGTATGATGGGGAAAGTGCTAGATTTGGAAATAGTGAACCTGGATTGAAACCCTGGTTTAGCCATTTACAGATGTGTGGCTTTGGGGATATCACTTCACTCTTCACCCCCAACCCCACCCCCAAGCTTCACTTCCTCACCTGTAAGACTAGAGGGATGGATTAGATAATCTGTAGCTCTACATCTATGGTCACTGTAAAATCTCTCTAGTTTGTCTCTAAAATGGAAACAAAGTCATCTACAGAAATACCGTTTTTATCTGCCATAGTGGACAATGAGAAGATCAAAGTATTTAGATTCTCTAGAAAAATGAAACTGAACTTTTTAGGCACAAGCACATCTCTACTTTTTGCTAACTCTTTCCCATAAATAGCTGTTCCAGGAAATCTTCTAAAATATACCTAAAAATGGTCTGCCTTAGCAAAAAGTATCATGGTCTTGCTTTGGTGACACAGGGTCATTTCTATACTGGTCTGCAATACAGTAATGCTTCTAGGAGCTAATCATTCAATCAACATTTAACCCTACTATATGCACGGTAGCTCTTATGGCCTGGATCACCATAACCAACACTGATCTCTCGCCTCTACTATCATATAGCATAGATTATCTTATCAGTCATCCAACCCTTGAGTATATTATGGGCTTCTCTTATTTAGCCTTTTATATCTGTGTCTTTTCATCAATGAAATGGTTAACTGCTCAAGGACAGGGATCTTGTCGCACATTTCTCTATCACTGCAGACCCTAGTATGGTACTGTCAAACTCAAATCAAAACAGGGACCCCTAAACTATACATAAAGATCTCTGTAGGCCACGCGTTAACTTAGAAAATCATACATGTTTGTATGTTTTTTCCATTCACACATTAACATATTAAAATCAGATAGGAATTACCTTTTAATCAGGTTTGGGTTACACTTGAGAGTGGGCATCTCTGATACAGTTTAAGGTCTTCATAACCTGGCCCCTTTCTACCTTTCCAACCTTTTTACCCTTTGATTTCCTTCCAATCTAATTACACTGGGGCCTCCTTACTGTTCCCCATACAGGACACTCTATGTCCCAACTGTAGTGCATTTACACTGTCTGGCTTCCATGCCTGGAATGCTCACCCTCTTCACTTCTGCCTCCCGGCTTCTCTTATGTCTCTGCTCAAATTCTATCTTCGGTAAAAGGTCTTTCCCATTCTCCTGTTGTCCCACCCCAGTCTCTTCTTCTGAGATCACTTTCTATTTAAACTCTACATGTCTTATGTATAGCTAGTTAGTTGCATGTTGTCTTTCCCATTAAAATGTAAGCTTGAGGGCAGGAAAAAAATGCTTTTGCCTTTCTTTGTATTCTCAACACTGAGCACATAATACAAAAAGAATAACAACCCTTAACATAGTGCTTGGCACATAGTAAATGCTCAATAAATACTTGTTAACTATGTGTGATTCTGGGCAAGGCAGGGAAATTCTCAGTGAACCCAGGCAATTCTGTAAGCTTATAAAGTGCCAGAACAGGTGCTGATTGATATTAGGAGAGTGTGTTTCTTCATTAGGAATTCCCTATTCAAATGAAATCACAAGCCCAGTCTAAGATAGACAGACAGACAGACAGAGATATCAGGACAGCTAGGTGGTGCAGTGGAGAGAGCACTGGGCCTGGAGTCAGAAAGATCTAAGTCAGGAAGACCAAATATGGCCTCAGTCATTTACTGTATGTAACGCTGGGCAAGTCATTTTAACTCTGACTCAGTTTCCTCATCTTTAAAATGGGGATAATAATAGCATCTGCCTCCAAGGATTGTTGACAGGAAAAAAAACATATGATATTTGTAAAAAGCACTTAGCACAGTGCCTGGCACTGCATACATAACATAAAATGTTAGCAGTTATCATTGTTATTATATAGATATAGGGAAAGATAGAGCTTAATAGAGATAAAGATATATGTAGAGATAGAGAGATAGATGAGGTATATTTATATGTCTGTATAGATGATGAAAATATAAATAAAAGCTATTTAAATTCATTAGATGAAACCAAAGTCATAATCAAAGGAAAATACATATTCCTGACCACTTATATTGAAAAGTAAGGAAAAAATGAGATGGCTTTGAAGTGAAAGAAATCAGAGAATGAATAAATTAATAACCAAAGGCAAGAACAAAACAAAAATATTAAAATAAGAGAAGAAATCAACAAGAAAAGAAGTAAAACAATAAAATTAATAGATAAAACAAAAGAGCTGGACTTTTTGTTCATTGGTTTGTTTAGACTTGGTCTCCCTACCTCACTCAGCCAAGGCTATCACTCCTGTGCCCTTCACAAGGCTGATAGGCAGGGAAGTATTGACCTATTCCATTTCTATTGAGGGCAGGCTCCCCACTCCTTTGTCAGCCTGGTCGCACTCCATTCTAGAGAGTCATTATACTGGTGCTAGATTTAGCAGGGATACCTGACTGGCTTTAGCCCTGTTATAGCTCAGAGCCCCTGACCTCAAGGAATCCACCAGCCTCCACCTGACAGGGAGCAGCGACTTATAGGAGTGAGACTTTGGGAACACCAAAAATTGATTTTTATTTTAAAAAAACTATTAAAATTGTTAAATCATTTTTAATTTAATTAAAAGCAGGAGAAATTCAAATTGTCAGAATAAGAAAGGGGAAAACAGCAAATATTGAAGAAAATTATAAGAAACTATTATTCACCACTATTTATGCTAACAAAATTGAGAATATAAAAAGAAATAGATTTACATTTATAAAAGTATAAAATACATAGATTGCAAAAAATAAAAGAAAGTAAATAACCTAAAGAGACCAGTTTTAAGAAGAAATTAAATAAGTTATTAATGAGCTGGTACATAAAAAGTTATCCCAAGGAGCGAGGGGGAGAAATTTAGAACTCAAAATTTTATAAAAGTGAATGTTGAAAACTAAAAATTAATAAAGCAATTAATTAAAATTGAAAAATAATTTTAAAAAAATTAAAAGGTATCCCCATTAGGTGAATTCATAAAAGACTTCCATCAAACATCCAAAAAACAAATAATCCAAACTTCATAAGCTATTTTTAAATGTAAAGAAATATGACAACCTACCTAATTTATTCTATAAGGAAAATATGGTTATAATCTTCAAACTTGGCAAACATAATGCAAGAAAAAGTATCATTATGGCTAGCAAAGTGATCCTCCTCCTCATCCCCTCAAAGTCTAACTAAGGGAAGGGAGAGGAGGAGAACAGCAAAGAAGGAGTGTACTAGCCAGGATTTCATATAATTTGGGACTTCCATGGTTCCTCCCAAGGTTTTGTAGGGACCCTGAAAAGTTAGTGAATCGGGCTCTGGTCATACCACTGACTTGAGTGTGACTCAGTCAAACTGATTCTACTCCCAAGGGTCACAACAATAGATGGGG